ACAAATACTCAGTAGAAATAGAAATGGGCCACAGGATGGCACGACAATCTGAAACTATTTTGTTGTACCCAAATTCAACTTTCCATCTAAATCTAGGCTCTGTTTGGAGGCCAATAATGGGGGACCATTCAAAACCACCATATGATGAAACAACTCCTAACCCCTAACCTCACAAATCTGCAATAATCATTTGTACACTTGATTTGAAATTCTGAGCTTATTTAGATGACTTGAAGTCACCAGTTTCATCCCTGATTTTAAAAATCGTGTTCTTAAGATGGCATACAATAATTAACAATATTATATTAACAAGTTCAAGGGCTGGGAACACGTATATAGAGTCGTAGACCACATATCTGAATGATATATATGTTAGACACTTCACTTGCTACCAAAGGAAGTAAAATAATACAACCATCCTGGACAACTTTGACAAAAACTTGGGAGGCCCAGAAAGAAGGAGCACAAGAGAAAAAACTAGGGAAAGCAAGATGATGAGATGTGTAAATGTGAAAAATGCTTTTCAGTAACTCAATATTAAGTTGTATGACCTAAAAAATACGGGGAACACAAACACAGCATCTCTAAACAATGCCCACATTCCGCAGCAAAACAGGTTTTCAACATTGAGAAGATGAGCATATATATACAAAAACAGTTTCAGGCAAGGAAAATAGAATTTGAGAACTTCACTTAAATCACTTCTAAATCACAGCTATAACTTATTCATTTCTAAGTCACAGCTGCAAACCAATTTGTAATTTCAGAAGCAAAGATATCTCTAATCCCTGCTGTGTACATAGAATTGGATTGAAAATGCTGACCTGCTAATCAGTTTATTTCTGGCCTTGTGGGGCTTTTCTTGGCATGTTTGGTCTAGTCGTCGTCTTCATCAGCAGCAGCAGCATCTCCATTCAGCCTGTCATCATCTCCCCCAACTTCCCCATCACTTACCTGCATCTCGGTAGAGTCATCTCCATTAGGGCTGAGTTGTGGCTGCCTTTGTTGTGGTTCATCATCATCTGACTCTGACCACGCACCCCTCCGTCGAATTGGATTTGAAGGTGCAGCCTTCATCCAAAATACAAATAAACATAAAAACCTTGGTCAGAAAGATGAATATGTAATGAAAAAGCAAATGTACAAACCTTGGTGGAAAAAGATGAGTGACACCAATTCACCATTGACAAACACTAACATAAGGTGGATTTCCTGGTTAGTATCCATACTTGATGAAATTCTGGCTGACACTAGACCAACTGGGATTGGTTTAACAAAAATTTGTCAATAATGCTATGTCCCCAAAATTCATTCCAGGTGTGATCATGACTCGTTGTGACCACACCCACAATGAAATTGGGCCACACCCTCTTTTTTTTTTTCCCTGCACGTAGCACTACTGAATTTATTCCAAGTCTAGATAACTTTGTTTAGCGAACTATCTTATGCAGCAGACCAAATGATATCTGATCCAAGAAAGTTCAAAATAGCTTGAAACTGCTGCACATAACCATCTTTCCAGCAAGTTTAACACAACAACAATTTGAGATAACCACACACACACAGATTACCATGTCATCCTCAGCATCAGAATCTTCAAGCCCAGCTGCTGCAAGTAGATCCTGAGCATTTTCTTCCCCTTCATCTTCTTGATTATTCATCTGATTTGAGGGCTCCCTATAGTTGATGTTGGCATCTTCGTCCTCCATTTCTTCCTGATCATCCACAACGTCAGCTTCTGCTTCGTCCGTCTCATAACGTGACTTTGATCCCTTATCCCTCTTTCTTCTCTTCCCCCCCTTTTTCCTCCTCTTCTCACTATGCCCACCCTCCTCGTCTTCATACTGGGACCTATCCTTCCGCTTGCTGGCAGGAGTGCTACTCTTCCATTGTTCCTGGAGACAAAGCATAAAATTAATCCACAGAATTCAAAGACAAACAGATATGGACAAATGCAGAAACATAAAAATTAAAGCATGTGTCAATTCAAGATAGCTGGTCAATTTCTGAGAACTAGATGAAGATTGGATGAAACAAGTTTAAGATAGATACCAAAAGTTATATTCACTGGGATGCCAATAACACAAACGTTTTGCCGACAGACAAAATTCAGCAAGGCATCATATCAAGTTTAATGCAGGATCATAACAATAAGACACAAACTGCCTAAGACAACCTACAGCACTCCAAAATCTCTACACATCAAAATTCAAACCAAACCAGGATCCTTTCGCAAGATTTCTCATATTTTATGTTTGGACTGTCAACAATACTCATGCATTCTCCAATATCTACCACAGCAGTTAGTTTTTCAGTGCAAACAAGAAATTCTTCCATTTAAAAGCTACCCAGTAAAATGATTGACCTCTTCCAAAAACAAAGCCCCCACTGCAACCCCTTCCCTTCCCTATAAGAAAAATGGATAACAATTTTTTTTTAAAATAAAAAGAAAAAAGAAAAACAGTGCAAGTTGATTTTTCCCTCCTGATATAGGATTTAGTATTAGTATGTTTGCAATTTCCATACAAAAAAACATGGGCTAGTTGTATACAGGTTTTCTCCAAGTAATGAAGATTGTAAAGCATGCTCTGATCTAATCTCAAGTAAAATTTCATGAACATATTGTATTAGTTTACGACACATTTTGACATAGTATCTAGTGCTCATATGGGAGTCAAAGTGAGTCAAAAAGTAAAACTTCTAATAGTTAGTTTCCGTGGACTGTGAAAGAATAAAACATCGAATGTTTGTTTGGTTTGATTTTTCAAAAACTCATTTTAGATGAGTTCTTGTTTATTTTTAGTATATTTTATTTTATTTTTTTATATTTTAATCAATTTTTTGTACTTTTTAGATGCACCTACTCAAGATGGATCTAAAAAGTAGAACAAATTGACTAAAATATTAAAACAAATCACTAAAAAAAACAAAAATCTGTGTATTTTCGTTCAGGTTTTTGTTTGTTTTTCGTAAATTTTTTTCGTATTTTAGTTACACTTTTTTACTTTTTAGATACATCTAATCTTGATGTATCTAAAAAGTACATTAAAACAAAAACAAAAAACAAAAAAACAAAAAAAAAAGGATAAGAAAAAAGAAGATTAAAATATCAAAAAAGTTCAAAACAATCAAAAACCCATCTAATAATAATTTCCAAAAACTATAACCAAACAAAGCCCAAATCTCCTAAATCAATCTATTTGCATATTTGTAATGTGGAACTAAAAATAGGGTCTAGAATATTCTAAGGCAAAATACAATATATATTTGGGAAGTCGCTACTTTTAGCCACTCTTAAGATTCTGTCGCAAAAAAAAAATTGTCCGTCACATCTCTCTCTCATATGTCAAGAATTTGGTATAATTTGCACATTGTTAAAGTCAAAAATTACTTTAAAAGGTGAATTATAATAGAAGATTATACAGTGAATAAGAGAATCATAGGCAAAAAGAATACAAAAAACAACTATGCTCCTAAAATAGAGCTTGCCAGTGAAGACAGGAACCAAGCTGCAGGTGACTTAGGTAACAACCCATACCTTTATACGCTCTAAATGTTCCTCTTGTTGCCTCACTTGCTTTAGCTCATCTTCTTGTTTCCTTCTCTCCATCTGTTCCCCATCGTAGAATGAGCGAAGGCTCAAAGCAAAAATGATCGATGTACTATACATCAAGTGAATTAACACCAGCTAACCTGAAATTTCCTCTGTTCTTCGGCTTTTCGACGGGCTTCCTCAGCTAACGTGACCTGACGTGCAAGTTCTATTCTCTGCTTATTCTGCTGCTCTTCACGCTCAGCTGCCTCACAGTGAACTTTTGCAGCCTCAAGCAAGTGCTTGCAATAATTGACATGGGTATCAATTTTCTTCTCATCAAACCCATGAAATTGAAGGTTTGAAGCAGCAGACAATTGACTAAATACCCGGACTGCATTCTTAAGCTCAGCCACAGTTGAACGCACCTATTATTAGAACGAGTGCAAGGAGAGAAAGAGAATCAAAGAAAACAGCATATTAAATAATGCAGCAAGATTTCCAGCATTATTACATTTGCATATCTGTTTGACATGGATAAATGTAAACACCGATTCATGGTGCAACTAGCGACAGTATACAACAGCCATTACAAATCTAGATAAAGGATATCAGCATGGTTCTACAATGTATAAGCATCAAGAATTTCTGTTATGTATATATAGAGGATATCATCAAGCGGCTAAAGTCACACACACTCCCACCTAAGATACACAATCACTTACGCTTTTACTAATCTTGATATTGAATGTTTAATTTATTTATACTAACTTAAATATTAGAATATCCTTTGGCCGATTACTCCAACCATCAAATACTCATCATGCTTGTGGTTTACAAACTATTTATAATTAATTTTCAAAGTTTGTACTCTTCTTCACAACTAGTTTTAATAGATTTTTCATAAAAGACTATAATGAAAAACACATTCTATCCAAACATGAAACTAGGACACCATGGTTGGTAACATGTCATCTAATTGTTATTTCAAAACTTAAATTATCCAAAGCATTTTCATATTTTATATACATATTTGTAACTATCACTGATAGCGAAACATACGAATTGAGATAAGGTTAATTTTGTGGGCAAGAGTCTTAGGTCCACAACTTTAATGGTCAATATAATAATTTCATAATTCTATTTCCCAAGTAAAAGAAGGTAGGCAGATTGGCAATATGCATTCAATAGTTTAAAAAACTCATTTTTGTGCGAAGGCATTCAATAGTTTAAAAAACAAAATTCCACTTCTCAAAGGCTTAGATAAAATGAAGTAACACTGCTTCTGGTCCCAAAATGGAGGGAGTTACCATCCAACTTTTCACTACTGAAACAAGGTGATGTTGGTTCAGGGTTTTTTCAGGGAGACTCTAAAGGATAGATCTTACCACTATACTTTTTGCCCCCTTCATTCCTAAACCTAATCTCAGAACAAAATTTGCAAAACTTCCCCAGCATCCGCAGTGCTTTTTGTATCACCCAAAACAACACCCAAAGATGGAGTACTATGTAAGTATTTCCGCTTTAGCATATCGCATGAGTGTGAATGTTGCCATGACAGCATGCTTAACATGTGGCTAGATGCTTATGTGTTATAAACTGTTTGAATGCCTGTGGGTGAAGGTTGGATTGTCTGAGTTGGAAACACTCGTTGAAATCCGTGTTTTAGCCTATTTGCGGGTAGCAAATTCCAAAATATTTTTCCAAAACAAACGGATATGCAATGCTTATTTCCAAAGTAGGCAATCTAGTCTATACTTGTTTGCTGCGCGCATAACATAGTAATTCTAGGCTAATCAATGGAATAAGAACACGTAACGTTTTCAAAATTGGATATCACGGTTAGTAGAGGCCGGTCTTCGGACCGGGCGAAAGGGGGTGCTCATAGCTGACCTTCCCCGATCGTACCCAAGCTCCCGAGCCGAGACAACTCCGGTGATGACGGACATGTGGCCTTCGGCACCGAGTCAGGGTTTCCTAAATTCTCCTATAAAAAATATTTAGGTGGTGACTCTGTATCTGGCAAAGCAGTCCATGTTTGGCACTACTTTTTCAAAAATCTGTTTCTCAAAACGATTTGCCAGATTTGGACTCTTTGGTTCAGATTTAGAACCGTGACACAAATCGAGTCCGAACTGTAGCATGAGGCCCACGGGCGCGTCTACAAGCCTCTTTATGGAGAAACCAGGCCAAATTAAGAGTCGTAAGATAGAACAGCATCTTCTGCTGCCATCTCTTAAACTCGGTACCGTTAAATTTTTCTGGTTTTTCTTCATGATTGATTGGTACATGAACATGGTTCTGGATAGGGACCGATGTAGGTGTAACAATAGGAGTACCACTACCAGAAGCAGTTTCAGTTGTAGTGGCCATAATCTCTGATTACAAAAATCAGAAAAAATTAAAACACAAATTAATTTTCTAGTTACTAAAACTAGAAAATTAATTATAACAACAAAATAATTTTATTTTCCTTGTTACTAAAACTAGAAAAATAAAATATCACAAGAATTTTCTGTAATACCAAATAATATTCTGCAATTGTTAATGACACCAGTATATTACTACTAGTTGTCAAAGAAAAGAGACAGTATATTGCTACTATCTGTGAAATAGCATAAATCACTATTTGTTTTTCCAACCAGAATATTACTTTGAAAACACAGAAAATTAAATACAATGAAGATACCAAAAAAGGATTCTGTCTTAAGATTGTTCGACAATCTTCACTGTATTTAAAAGATTTAATTCTATTGTGTACACAACAACAATTAGAATTTAAAGAAATAAAGAAAATGAGAGAATTTGTTTGATTACAAAAATCAAACTAGAAATAAAAATAAATAAATAAAACCACAGAATTTATTTTGTTACAAAAACAAAAATAAAATCTGATTAAATAAACAAATAAAAACAGAATAAAATTAAAACAACTTACTTGGTTAATTTATATGAATAATTTTTCTGATCAAGTCCAGTGTTTAACACTGTGTCCTTACCAACTCCTCGCTCGAGCGAAGGTCCAAAAATCTGGGCAGCAACACTAGGCTCCCAAACACAACCAACCTGAAACAAACCTGCCCAACACATCCTATAACTCAATATACCAGTAAAGAGGATGTAAACAAGATAATAAACAACTACCAACATCCACGGACACATGTCCGGATCACTGTACAACAAGGGTAAACCCGGGATCGCTATACTTTCTTTCAGAAATAAAATGCAACAAAATGAAGAATAGAATAAGCAGAGGTGAAATACGAAATTTCTGAATCAATAACATCAAATAAGGGCGGTCCTATTTATAGATGTAAAGGTGGCTCTTGGTTTTAAATTGAACAGGTATGATACCTGTTGGTTTTGAATTCAAACAGATTTGAATCTGTTAATAATTCAAACAGATTGCAAAAACGGGAAGGGCCCTGTTTGGGTGTGCATTAATTCCAAACTAGTTTATTTCTGTTTGAAAACGGGAAGGGCCCTGTTTGGATGTACAGAAAATCCAAATCAGTTTAATTCTAATTCTAGATTTTATTTTACCAAAAATAAAATTAAATTCAAATGTTTTTGGCCCAAAAAAATTAGTATTGGGCCGAACAAGCCCAACCACACACCAGCGCCTAGGCCCAGCCCAGCCTGACCGGACGGACGGACGGCGGCGGCGCGCGCGTGTGGTGATTTTTGGGTCCAATGGGTCTCGCCCATTTTGCCCATAACCGCTCCCTCTAAAACACTTGGGTACCCCTTGGGGCACACCCGAAGTACCAAACCCATGCCTTATAAACCCTTTCAAAACTTCCCACCAAATCAATGTGGGACAAGCCATTTTACAACCTTAAGGAATTTCCACCAAAACTCCATTTCCATGGAGCACAGTTTGGCTTCAATTTTCCATTCACTCGGTAATGGTTTTGAGCAACCAAATATACCACGTGAATCACAACGCGGCATAGAACGCGTTACCACTTTGACCTGAGTAAATTGACGCTCGGGGCCCACCTAAAAAATAGACCAAACTTGAGAAAAAATTCTGGTTTTACCCAGAATTTTTCTACCATTTCCAACAGTATGAAGACTACACGTCACTACTAATTTAAAAATACTAAAGAGAATAATAAATTAAGTATCCCATAATAAAGCGCACTAACACAGCTCAACTCCACTCACCGTTACTCTTAAATAATACCTAAGTTCATGTTCTTCATGGTCTAAAATTACCCAAGACATAGGTTCTATTCGAAACTTAATTAAAAGTAACTTTAAGATAAAACAGAGTTTTAAACAAATTTGCCCAATCAATTCGCTAACTTTGAAAATTACAAAACACTCCATGCTATTCGAAAAATTCCACAACCATCCAGATAAGAATTAATATATCCTAAGTTTCAAACCCAATTGGTCTCACTTGATTTTCTTAACAAAATAAATATTTATAATTAATTATATGTAAACAGGTTGTTTTCTGCAGCACTTTAAAAAAAATAATGGTTCTCTTAGTATACAAGAGCAACCAATGCAAGGGAAAGAATGTAAGAAACTAGACTCGAAACCGGTTCTAATGACACTAATTTGATAATTTTTGGATTTATACCCAAAGAGAACGACACTCCTGAATTTACTGTTTTAAACAAGTTTTTTGGACAGATTTGAACGCATCGGTTTATATGGATTTTGATTCCCAAAAATTATGAAAAACTTCATATATGCAACTCAATATGTAATTAACCTACTGTAAAAATTTCAGTTCAAAATTAATTCGTTTGATATGGTTTCTTGATTTTTAAAGTTTGTGATTCTGTGTAGAATTTTTGGTCTGAGAATTATACCCATTCTTTATACATGAATTTTACTCCTCAGATTTCTTAACCGTATATATATGTACAAAATACATAAACCTACAACCTCTCCACCAATGAACTAAATAATAATAGAGTACGGATAAAGAACAAAAACAAAGAGAAGATGAAAGATAGAGACCTTCCACACACACAAAAGTTCTTCCTTGTTTGCAACCCCTTTTTTTTTTCCCTTTTTCTTTTCTCTCAACCTCTCTCTTCCCATGGCAGTTGGTCCCTGTGGGTGGGAAAGACAAGAGACGGTTCGGTGATGGTGGCGGACGATGGCGGCAACTACGGAAGAGAAAGAAACATAATCTCATTAGAAAAAAGATAGTGTCAAGTTTAAATATTGGTAGTAGTAGAATCGTAAATCTATTCCACATCGTTCATAATTTAATTAGAAAAACGATAGTGTAAAGTTTAAATATTGGTAGTAGTATAATCGTAAACTTATCCGATATCATTTAAAAACAACGCATAATTTTTGAATATAAGGGGTGATTGAGACATCTAATAATTGCCGAGCTAAGTAGCGTTAGCTTATGACTCAAGCGAGGGCACCAAAGTGGTTGGATGATGGTAAAGTTGATAGATGGCTTCAACGCTTGAACT